ATTTCACCACGAAAACTGTCATTTTACATGAGGTGATCTACACTGTCCTAAAGTCAGAGTAGTTTCTCATACTGATTTCATTTAATAATTTTCCTCTTTAATTGCTCTTCCCACTTCCGTGCAAAATAAAGCCCCACTATGCTTGAATTTCCAGACACCTAGAATAAAACGATGTAAAGTTGCTGCCAATCCATCTATCACATTATATTGAAGTTAACTGCAGAGTTAGCTTGGAAATCTCTGGATCCCAAAACCATCTTTAATTGCCTGTTTTTTTAATGAAAAATATTTGGGGAATGGAGCCACCAGGATTAACTAGAAGCAGTTCATGTGCCCTGATCTCATGGAGAAAAGTGATCTAAACTGATGATCTCAAGGGCTGGAGAACACTGACCGTGCAAGCCAATCAACAGATAAATAATGTCGGGATATATCAAAGCAGCAGGCAAAAACAGAGGACAGAGAGGAATGAAGCTGGCCACCACCCTGTTAGATATCAGCATCTTAAAAAATATCAGCCAGTAGGGTGGCTCACACCTATAATCCCAGCACTTTGGGAGGCCGGGGCAGATGGATCACCTGAGATCAGGAGTTTGAGACTAGCCTGGCCAACATGGTGAAACCCCTTCTCTACTGAAAATACAAAAATTAGCCAGGCACGGTGGTGGGCACCTGTAAGCTACTTGGGAGGCTGAGGCAGGAAGAATTGTTTGAACCCAGGAGGTGGAAGTTGTAGTGAGCCAAGACTGTGCCACTGCACTTCAGCCTGGGTGATAGAGCAAGACTCCATCTCAAAAACAAAATAGAATTTCATATCCAGCCAAACTAAGTTTCATAAGAGAAATAAGACACTTTTCACACAAGCAAATGCTGAGGGAATTCATTACCAGATGGAAAAACATTTCATGCTCTTGGATAGGAAGAACTGATATTGTTAAAATAGCCAAGAGAAACTCCCGAACATGGAAAGGGTGAGTGAGTGAGAGCCCCCAGGGAGATTCATGCTCCCCACAGGGACCTGTGCAAAACTGGGAATGGGAGAATCACCCTACTCCCCTGCACCCTTCCAACACACTTTTATACTGAGGCAAAGAGCCACCTGAAAGTTTTTTGGGGACAACTTCCAAGTCCAAGGGGACCTCCACAAGTCTTGGGCCCCAGGGCAAACCAGCACAGGTGCCACAGCCCCAATTGAGGCCACAGTTGCAGTGCCAGGGAGCATGAACATTGCTCCACCACTGCTTTTCAGCCAAGGCTCAGTGCCAACTTCTGGCACAGCAGTCCCACTTTGACCCAAACTTGGCTAACCCCCGACTTAACTCTGCCACTGGTAGCCAGTTGGGCAACATTTGCTAGAGCTTCCATATGTTCCTCTACTAATAGCATCTTTATCTAATAAAATTTCAACCTTTTGATCATTTAAAAAAAGAAAAAAAAAAGGAACAAACAAAATATCTGAGAAATATGGAATTATGTAAACCCTCACAGGATACTTCACATGAAGATCATCCCCAAGACACATGATCATCAGATTCTAAAAGGCTGACATGTAAGAAAAAATGGTAAAGGCAGCCATAGAAAAATGGACAGGTCAACAACGTAAGGAAGACAATCAGAATAACAGCAAACATCTCAGCAGAAACCCTAGAAGCCAGAAGAGACTGGGGGGCGATATTCAACATTGTTAAAGGAAAGAAATTCCAGCCTAGAAGTTCATATCCGTGGCCAGACACATTGGCTCACACTTATAATCCCCGAACACTGGGATGCTGATGTGGGTGGAGCAACTCAGATCAGGAGTTTGAGACTAGACTAGCCAACAGGTTAAACCCCTTCTCTACTAAAAATATAAAAATTAGCCAGGCATGGTGACGGGCACCTGTAATCTCAGCTACTTGGGAGACTAAGGCAGGGAGAATTGCTTGAACCCAAGAGGTGGAGGTTGTAGTGAGCCAAGATCGTGCCACTGCACTCCAGCCTGGGTGATAGAGTAAGACTTCATCTCAAAAGAAAAAAAAAAAAAAAGAATTTCATATCCGGCTAAACTAAGCTTCATAAGTGAAGGAGAAATAGGATCCTTTTCAGACAAGCAAATGCTGAGGGAATTCATTACCAAATGGAAAAACATGTCATGTTCTTGGATAGGAAGAATAATATTGTTAAAATGGTCATACTGCCCAAAGCAATTTAAAAATTCAATGCTATTCCTATCAAACTATCAATGATGTTTTTGATAGGTCTAGAGAAAGCTATTCTAAAATTCACATGGAACCAAAATAGATTCCAAATACCCAAAGCAATCCTAAGCAAAAAGAACAAAACTGAAGGCATCGTGTTATCTGCCTTCAAATTATATTACAGGGCTACAGTAAACAAAATTCCATACTGCAACTACAAAACAAACACATAGATAGACCAATGTTACAGAATAGCTAACCCAGAACAAAAACCACAGACGTGCAACCATATGCACTTTAATAAAGCTGACAAAAACAAGCAATGGAAAAGGACACTCTAATCAATAAATGGTGCTGGGATAACTGGCTAGCTATATGCAGAAGACTGAAATTGAACCCCTTCTTTACAGCATATACAAAAATCAACTCAAGATGGATTAAATTCCTAAATATAAAACCTCTAAATGTGAAAACCTTGGGAGAAATAAATGTCATTTTAGGCATAGGAACTGACAAAGATTTCATGAAGAAGATGCCAAAAGCAATTGCAACAAATGCAAAAAGTGAGAAATGGGAACTAATTAAAGCTCTTTACAGCCAAAGAAACTATCAGCAGAGTAAGAAGGCAACCTAGAGAATGGGAGAAAATATTTGCAGACTATACACCTGGCAAAGGTCTAATATAAAGAATCTTCAAGGAACTTTCATGTACAAGCAACAAACAACTCTGTTAAAATGTGGGCAAAATACATGAACAGACACTTTTCTAAAGAAGACATACATGTGACCAGGAAGCATATGGAAGAAGCTCAACACCACTGATTATTAGAGAAATGCAAATCAAAACCACAATGAGATACCATCTCACACCAGTCATGGCTATTACTATAAAGTCAAAAAATAAGAGATTCTGGCAATGTTGTAGAGAAAGGGGAATGTTTATACATTGCTGATGGAAGTGTAAATTAATTCAACCATTAGGGAAAGCAGTGTGGTGAATCCCCAAAGAACTAAAAACAGAAACACTATTTGACCCAACCATCCCACTACTGGGTATATGCCCAAAGGAATATAAATCGTTCTACCATGAAGACACATGCACACATGTTTCACTGCAGCACTATTGACAATAGCAACTCCATGTCAGGCTGACATGGAATCAACCTGAATGTCCATCAATGACAGAGTGGATCGGGAGGAAGACAGCAAACCATATTGCCATGTGTGTACCTATGCAACAATCTTGCATGTTCTTCACATGTACCCCAAAACCTAAAACACAATAAAATATGTATTAAAAAAAGAAAATGTGATAAATGTGCACCATGGAATGCTATGCAGCAATAAAAAACAATGAGATCACTTCTTTTGCAGGAACATGAATGGAGTGAGGACATTATCCATAGCAAACTAATGCAGAAACATAAAATCAAATACTGCATGTTTTCACTTATGAGTGGGATCTAAATGATGCGAACACATGAACAGGAAAAAGAGAACAACAAACACTGGGGCTACTCAAAGGAGAAGGGTGGGAGGAGGGAGAAGTTAAGAAAAGAAATAAAACTGTCATGTACTATGTTTAGTACCCTAGTAGCAAAATAATCTGTATGTAAACCAAGCCCACAGACCATGTGTTTACTTATTTAACAAACCTACACATGTACTTCTAAACCTAAAATAAAATTAAATGTTTCTTAAATCTTTCCTTTATTTATTTGTCCACCCTTCCATCATCCTTCCATCCATCCATCCATCCATCCATCCATCAATCCATCCACCCATCCATCCATCCATATTTCCATCTGTCCATCCATCCATTCATGTATGTTGATAATTATAATCTCACCTATCTTCAAAAGAGATCTGAGGGGTTTTATGATCAAGGCTAACATGCAATGATCACCGGGTAAAAGAAAGAAACAAGTAATATGAGAGGAAAGGACATTCCACTCTACAAGTCACCTCTGTCTTCTTTTCCTTTCATCCATCTTTTCTTCTTTGCCTGCTCCCTGTTCTACCTCTTTTCATTAGCCCCTGTATATAATTCCTGGAGTCAGCTGGCACCTTCATTTAGCTAAGGAATTAGTACTCCAGCTGAAAAGAATTCAGCCCAGCCAGCTGGACTGTCAGCATTGCCGTTCAGTGGTAAATTATTTAGAATGGGATGGAGTAAGAAACGTGGGGTGATGCTGGAGTAGCCTTTGGCAGGCAGAGAGCACAATGGCGAGTACTATAAGAATTATAATTCGGCCGGGCGCGGTGGCTCAAGCCTGTAATCCCAGCACTTTGGGAGGCCGAGGCGGGTGGATCACAAGGTCGAGAGATCGAGACCATCCTGGTCAACATGGTGAAACCCCGTCTCTACTAAAAAAAATACAAAAAATTAGCTGGGCATGGTGGTGCGTGCCTGTAATCCCAGCTACTCAGGAGGCTGGGGCAGGAGAATTGCTTGAACCCAGGAGGCGGAGGTTGCGGTGAGCCGAGATAGCGCCATTGCACTCCAGCCTGGGTAACAAGAGCGAAACTCCGTCTCAAAAAAAAAAAAAAAAAAAAAAAAAAAAAAAAAAAAAAAGAATTATAATTCATTTCTACCGCAGCAAAACAGTGAAGATAAAGAAATGCTTCCAAAATGAGGATATGACTTGTAACTGTTTTCTAATTTCAGTGTACAAGTTAGCAATAGGGCTAAGCATCCTCATGAGTATCTTTATAACAAAAGTAGACATACTATTCTCTTCCCTCCATCCTCATCTCACCTCTCTCCTGCCCCACAATAAAACAGTAAGAGTCACCTGTCCTGGGATTCTCGAAGACACTCACCTGTGTTAGAATTAAGATCATCAGGCTCTGATTCAGTCCCATTTTGGCTTCCATTTCCCTGAAGGGTGTTCATAGCCATAAGCTTCATCTTCTGCAGTTTCATTGCCTCAGCCATTGCTGCAGCTGTTATACCTAAAATCAGAATTATTCCATTTCATTTATTTATTTATGTCAATAATTTCACCTTTTATTTTAGATTTGGGGGTACAAATACAGGTTTTTCACTTGAGTATACTGCATGATACTGAGGTTTGGTGTATGGATGACACTTTGTAAAATGGGGATCATTTCTTAATGTAACTGAAAGCTGGATAGATTTATTTAACAAAGCTATGCTGCATAGCACAAACCAAAATTAACTTAAAGTTGAATTTGTTAATACTTTAACAATGTAACTTTCAACTCTTGTAATTTCTTCATGCTACAATAGTTTATAAACTTAAAAAAGGTATATTAAATATATGTCTGATCCCCAATTTGAAACATAAAGTAAATGAAGATTGTAAAATGCAAATGGTTTTTAAAATTCCAAGATTATTGGTAATGTATTATTTTGTCTGCTAAGAATTTTAGACTGCTATTTTGGACAGAACTCGCTAGGTAGTAAATTCCATCTAAAACAACCTGGTCAGTGGGAGCACTCAGAAATTCTAAAAGAAACTCCTTTTAGTGCATATCCTCCTTAGTGCATATCTAAAGGAACCCTTTTCTAGTGCATATCCTTGCTGGCATTTTTATAAAGGATAGGCTGCCTAGCCTATGAGGATCAGCTTAGCCGGGAGGGGGAGAAGAAGGAAAAGAATGCAGGTATTCTTTCTACATTTTTATCAGCCTCATACTTATACACTGAGGGAGCAAATTAAGGAAAACACGGCATGCCACCTATACAGCCAGCCTCTGTAGTATAGTTACATTCTTTTGTATTAATGTAAAGCAGATATTAAAATAAAATTCTCAGCATAATGGTGTAAAAAGATGAGGTGTGGGGGAATGGCCATGGATAAAATGTGAATACATAAATTTGAAATTATTCATCCTAGGAAGTTCGTATCAGACAGCAACACAACCATATATAAGGAAACAAGTACTAAAAGTACCAGAACAATCCATGCTTCAACGATGTCCTCCCAAAAGTCTAGTGAATTCAACTTAATTTTTAGATGATGTCCCTAATCATCTACTGGTACACTTATAAGGAGTTCAGAGTGGCAAAATAGAACCTTAGTTATTCTATCAAGCACACAGTTAGACAGTTTAGGCTGTGTTTACTTCCCCTTACATGTTTGATAAGGATTTATTATACCTCTTAGAATCAGGATCTTCTAATGACAGGTATTTTTTTTTTTTGAACAACTGATATTTCCCTTCTTTTCCTTGAATCATATTTTTGTGGTAGGATGAATTTTGCTGAATTCTGAAATAATGCCTCAAAATCTACCCAGATTTTTTTTTTCTTTTTGGCCCATGGTAGCAGTGTACAAGTAGATAATTAGGGACATTATCTAAAAATAATTAACTTGAATTCAGTAGACTTTTGGGAGGACATCGTTGCTTTCTTTCTGAATACTGGTACTCTTGTGTTGGGCACATATATATTTAGAATAGTTAGCTCTTCTTGTTGAATTGAATATTTTTACCATTGTGTAATGCTCTTCCTTGTCTTTTTTATCATTATTGGTTAGAAATCTGTTTTTCTGAAATTAGGATTGTAACTCCTATGTTTTTTCTGTTTTCCATTTGCTTGATAGATTTTTCTACATCCCTTTATTTTGAGCCTATGAGTGTCAATGACATGTTAGATGGAGTTCTCAAAGACATAATACCATGGGGTATTGCTTTTATATCCAGCTTGCCACTCTGTGCCTTTCAAGTGGGGCATTTAGCCCATTTACATTCAAGATTACTATTGATATGTGTGAATTTGATATCGTCATTGTGATGTTAGCTGGTTACTATGTTGGTGTGTTTGCGTGATTTCTTTATAGTGAAACTGGTCTGGAAACAGTTTTGAAATTCTCTACAAATCAACTGAGAAGATGCAAATCTTTCCAAACAGAGGTAGTATTTGGGTTTATTTTCAATAAAAACTTATGCTCTGAATTATACCCAGAAAAATACTTGAACTCTAAAAAATTTACTAAATGTGTTTTCTATTCAGAAAGAAAAAAAAAAACAAACAAACACTCGGACTCTAAAAATTTCAGAATGCAACAATGGGAAAGCCATACAGATCTAAAAGTTAGAGACTGAAAGAGCAAAGAAACGACATGAAGGTAATTATGGGCTACCCTAATGAAGAACAAAATTCCATTGGTTCCTAAGTATCACCATTCATGGATAGACACAAGATTAAAATTTAGTTCAGTTCTATGGCTGTGAGAGAAAAGCTGAAAAAATACAGCTTTGGGAGGATCTCAAAACATTCAATAGGAGCTGCATTTTGCCAGACATCAGCGTAGCCATCAAATGATGTGAGCACTAAAAGTTGACTATATTTTGCAAGTATCTGTTGAGTTACAGATAGAGATATTAAGAGAGAATACACTCGATCTGTGCTAAAGTTCCACTTGCCTCAACAAAACAACAGTTAGAGGATGTACAATCAGGCAGCGAATTTGTACTTAGTAATTGAGCCAAAAAGAGAAAGCCACAGTTAAGAAGGGTTGGTAGGACAGACACCATGACATATAGTGTAGTCCACAAAACCGATCTCAAGAGAAAGCGGGCTGCTGCTTTGAGCAAACTACTGTCCCTTAGCCTCAATGTGCCTAATAAAATTTTAAGTTGCCAAACAACTGTTGACTTTCTTGTAGACCATACAGAACCTGTCTTATATCAACTTTTCCCAAACTACTTTTTTATTTGACGACTTCTTCCACAAAATGTTAAAAGAGCATCTATTTAAAAACGGAGAAACTGGGTAAGAAAATTCCCAGGCCAAATTAGGTAACAACAAGTTAATAAAAATCTTATCTGGCACTTACAATATGCCACACAATCTTGCAAGCTCTCTCTCTCTCTCTCATATACATATACATATACATATACATATACATATACATATAGTATTTTGAATATATAATACATACATATATAATATTCAAATAAACCTTAAGAGTGTAATAATATTATACTCTACATTTCCATGTTTCAGGTCAGTAAACCAAGACGGAAACTGAATAACTTGTCTAATGTCATACAGCTAATAAATCCTGAAATTGGGGTTTAAACCCAGGTACTCCAGGTTTTTTTTAATGGCAGTTTTTCCAAAGCTTTACACATGAAATATTTTAATGAATTTTCAAAAAAGACATAAAATGGAATACCTGTTATTCATTCTAAGGATACTAAAACTTTGTAGAACATAGTTGAGAAATGCTGCACTAAATCTATTTCTTTTAGCGAAGGATATAAGCTCAACTTTATTTGCTTTGATATTATTTTTTTTCTGAATTTGAATTTAAGCTATGTATTGATATCAGGCTTTTTTACAATTTATATAAAGTTCATCTGTTCTGTCATTGAGTAATCATGAATTACAAATTGTCCATTGGTAATTTATTTTTTAATTTTTTTCAGACAAGGTCTCACTCTGTTGTTGAGGCTGGCTGGAGTGCAGTGATGCAATCACAGTTCACTGCACTTCAAACTCCCGGGCTCAATGGATCCTCCTACCTCAACCTTCTGAGACTACAGGCATGTTTCACTAAGCCTGGCTGATTTATTATTATTATTATTATTATTATTATTATTATTATTATACAGAGACTGGGTTTCACAATGTTGCTCAGGCTGATCTTGAACTTCTGAGCACAAGTGATCCAACGACCTTGGTTTCCCAAAGTTCTAAGACTGGAGGGATGAGCCACTGCACCCAGCCCACTGGTGATATATTAAATTTTAAATGTTTCCTGTTTATATACATTATTATTAGGATAATTATTAATTGTCTTTCTGGTACCACGGAATTGACAATATTCTTGTTTAAGAAAATTTGAGTCATAAGAACTCTTTTAATATTATATAAAAATTCCAGTAAGTTGTACTCTGCCCTAAGGTGACTTATTTGACCATTTTTATAGAGTATTACAGGACATTTCAAGATATTTTTTAAGGAATTACCTGCCCTGACTTGCCATAGGTCTATGATATCTAGATCAGAAGTGGTATGACCAGCATATATCATTGTGAGTCTGGGAGAGAGTGTGCATTAGATATAGATTGTAGGTGACAAAACACTTCTAATTTCTAACATTGGGAGAAGAATGACTCTTTCCATGGCTAGTTAGCCCAGAAAGGCAGGAAGACTACCTGAAATGCTGGGCACTCAACAAAACTAACAGGAATACATTATCCTGTTTTCTAGAAAGGTGGTTCTGTGTAGAAAATGAGCAATACTTTTCAAAATACAGTACAATAAATTGCCTTTTATAAGTAGAAAATAGATTATTGAATTTGAGGTTAATAATGGGAAATTAACCTCAAATTCAATAATCTATTTTTGTCTAAAATTACATTGTAGTACTAACTTCTGCATAGCAGCTAATGAAAATCCAAATGTATTTTGTACTTGTTAAAAGGTATCAAACTGTCAGTAGGAGAATATTAAATCACAATAATGAATTACATTCCAGAAAAATAATTGGCTTCCTAAAGATCACTCCTCTTGTGGCTTTACAGAAGCCTGTCTTCCCTTGGATATACCACATAGGTGCCAGAGAATCAACTGTGCAATCAATTTTCCACTCTTCAGAATAATGATTCTCAACCAATGTCATGCTCCGTTGCTACAGAGCTACTACTATGATTCTTTGTTGTTTTTATTCAACGTTGTGATATTTTGTGTTTTAAACATATGTATACTACTTAAATGAAAGACAAAGAATGCAGCAGTACATCTAGAAATGTTAATTTTTCTAAAATGCTGCATTTTTAATGTTGCTTGCCTTATAGTTACAATAATTAAAGGTGTAATTTATAACATCAAGAAGGGCCTGAGAAAACAGCAAAGCTAGTATTTGTTTAGCCCAAATTATGATGTAAAGCATACTGAATGAGGAATCATAAAGTCTGGATATTAAAATCGGATTTCTCTATAGCTACCTGTATGCCTATCTGAGTCACTTTATCTT